TGTCAGAAAAGATTCTGCCATTATTTTCTACATCATAGTAAATATGCAGCTCAATTAAACAACTTTATATCACCAGTGACATTAAAGAAATACAATTTTTCAAAGTTAATTGATATTTTCAACATTCATACTACTTTCCTTTGCATAGATGATACTGTAAAATTACTGAGATAAAACCTTGTTCACATTTTCATCTGGTACCTTAGTGAGAGTCCCATGCGTTCAGCATTGAGACAGACTTCTCCTTAGAGAGTAGTGTAAAGAAGATTAGAGGATTCACAGCCTGTTGTGACCGAATAACTAGGAGGATTCTCAAAGAAACTGAGTCTAGTGCCAGTATACACTGCCTTCCTTGAACATGGTTGCTTCTATATCCATTTTGCTGTACAAATACAACATGAGATCTGGGAAATGGAAGGTCTCCGCATTTTCTTTCAAAAACACTTGCTTAGGGACCAAATGAACATAACCTATACAAGTTACAAGTCATTCATTTAAGTTCCAAGCCTTTATATATTTCAAGTTTGTTTGCTGAAAACAGTTTTTGTGATTTTAGCTATCATAATCTTGAAGTCTATCACATTGTTTCAACTGATCCTCACTTGTATTAGAAGGCTGTCTAGAATCCCAGCCTTTAAAGGCTCAGAAATTTTCTTCAGACCTTTAACTCATACTAATTTGTGAGGTTTCTATTCATATTTATTCTTATTACAGTACTGTTCCTCAGCTCAAATACTTCGTGTCCCTACATGACTCTCCACCAAAATTTGAATTTATAGGCAATGGTCATAGTGGATATCAAGCTGCTTTTCTGTCCATTATAAAGCCATGTTCCAAGTAGCCTTGGTCATTTTGAGACTCAATACAGTGACCTAGCTGGTCAGAATAACTGTCATTATTGGCTCATATACTAATATTAATGCTTCCTTCACTGGTAATGTCAGATGCATTGTAGGGTTACATTTGCACCTGTGTTTTTCATAGCCAGATTACAATATGCTGTTGACTAGAACACTTGGATATTTATCCTTTTGTTATCCGCAATTGAAAATTCCACCCCTTTACCCATTTAGAAAAGAAATTCTTACCATTTCTTTCTAAAAGCATGTCAGCTACATAATTGTAGAATTAGATTTGTTCTCATTTTTATTACTCAGTATAAATAATTCAGTTTTTTCTGTATAGGATTCAGTCCTACATTTTAATCTTCCAAATCCAATGTCTTACCAAACGTCATTAACACACTACTATATTTTACAGCAATGTCATGAAAGAAAATATTAAAGCTCACTCCTAAAACTCCATCAGCTTCCTATGCAGATAAAGGAGAAGGATAGGTTCCTTTCACAGGTAGTTCAGGGCAAGAACCTATCTTAGTCATTCTGAACGTCGCCTCAGAGAAACCTTCTATTGACTATCGAGGGAGCATAGTAAGAATAGCTAAAGTTAGCTTTTGGAAAACCCCTACTCCTGTACTAAGCAGATGACTAACATATCTTTTTCTGTTACAGAGAAACATTAGGTTTCTGCTTTCTATAGCATTACCCACACTCGGATTGTCAGCACAAACTGAAGATGTGTTTTTGAATCAGTACTTTTCATGATGTCTAGAACTACATTTTACTATGTCACTGAAACCTTTCTCAGCTATACCATCACATTTTGTGTACATTTGTATGGCTATGCATTGTCATATCTTTCTGAAAAGTGTTTATTTGAAACAAAGATCTATAGTTTATTCAAGACAGTAAATTGTTTTGTTCAAGACACAGTTGTAAATACAATCATAAATCATAATGACAATGCTCAATAAAAGCATTAGAAGTTTTACTGCAAGATCAAGAATTTTATTTCCAGGTAGATAGAAGAAAGTTTCTTAAGTGCTGCAAAAAGAAGGGTTATAACCGAAATCAGCAAAAAGTGGTATGGATTTTTTTTTTTCAGGCAGCAGTATACTTTTATGAAATACATTTTCTCAGTGGTCACCTGGTAGATAAAAGATGAAACTGCACTCGGGTATTTGGTGATCATGGCCAAAAAGCAAGAAAGAATTAAACTTAAATTGCAATGTACAAAAGGATAACCTTGACTTATTCTGAAATAACCAGTTGAATTTCTTGATCGCTGTTTTGTTTGAACTCTTAACACAGAAAACTTTCAAGCCGTAGTACTTAACAATGTTACATGCATTAGCACACTCAGCACAGTATTTCCACAGCCTGTTTTTCAAGGCTATTTTTTTCTACTATGCTATAGGTGTCTAACTCTTTTCTCTTGGCATGGGGAGAATTAAGCCACTGTAATTTTATTCACTAAACCAACAAGCTTAAACCTACAAGTTAAAAAGATAAAACCTACTAAATAAAAACATAAGAAAATTACGTTGTTGTTACACTTCTGTTCTTACATACGTTCTTATTGTTAAACAAAACATGTTTAAAATAATAACAAAACTGTGTGCACAGTACATGAGTTGTGGTCCTGACTTTTTCATTTCCTAGGCCATGTGAAATAGATACTTCAGCAGAGAATAAACATTTCTGCTCTGTAAAGGAGTATATGGAGTAATAAGTAATATAGAGCTAGGCCTATTGTAACTTACTGCACAAAAGTCAGAGATAAATTTGACTAAAGAATAACATGTCAGCTTAGAGACAAATCCTAGCACCACCTAGTGTGAGATATGGAGTCCAGTTTATTAAAACTGATTTAGTCAAGTTTGAATGGGCATCACTATCCAAAACAATTTAAAGTGCACCTCCACGCAAAGCACATGTACAATACACATCTTCAAATCAGCAGTGTTCAACATGCAGCCTCTTCCATCTGCATTAACTAAAGCAAATTTAAAGTAAGCATTTCATTAACAGAAAATAATAGAGGAGCAGATAATGCAAACCAAATGAGAAGTAGGGCAAGGAAAATCAATTTCTCAGCAACTGTGGGGCAAGTAACTTTAAACAAATTCACCCAATTTCTAATCAGTGCCAAATAATAACATGATTCCTTTGGGCTACATTGCAATGATAAAGCACAAAATTCATGATAAAGGAGACTTTAACTTTTATTGGAAAGACTGTGAAATAACAGTAAAATAATGTGCAATTTATAGGTTATCCCTAGATAAAAGGGGCCTTTGGCACGCCAATTGTGGTAAGTGTATTTTACTATAAGATAGCAAATGCTCTGAGCAAATACAGCAACAGAAAAGAGTAAGAATTATTTTAAATTCTTTACATAGAACCTGAAAAACTAATTGTGACATGTTAGCTCAAAAAAAGAAAGGATTTCATTACACAGTAGATGGCCTGAACAAAAAGAAAATGTGATGCAAAAAGAATTATGATGGGATTACGAAGTGTTTCAGAACTGTTTGATTAATCTCCTGTCTGGGGAGTTTTAAGAAATAGATACTGCAGAAGACTTAAATTATAGGAGTGATAAGCATGTACTTCCAGGCTTCTGTTACTTCTGCTTTTAACAGCTTATCTCCATTTTATCCAATGGTTTTACTGCTGAAGGATTTTCACATACTTAAATTATACTTTCTTGGGCACTGTGATGTGTGTTGTGTCTCTGGAAAATTGTACTTCTCAAAAGCTACACACATCCCACTCTGACACTCTCCTATTTTAGTTACAGCTCCCTCTGTTAGGAACTTCAAAGTAGGTTTAGGTCTTGAAGAGACATGGTGTTTATTCAAAGATCACTTTGTGGTGTTTTTAATATTTTTCCCTACGCGATACCACTACCCAACCCACCCACCCTTACATGTCATACCACTTTCCCTCTACTCACCTTTGGGAAGGTCTTCTTAACAGTCTGGATTTCAGGCATGTTTCACTCTTGGTCTGGTTCTTCCCTTGCTGTGACATCCACAGCCCGTGGTAGTTGAGACAGAGATGAAAGAATGTCAAGAAAGAAAGAAAAATTCTCTGATGTCGCTCTAGTATTGGGCATAGCTGGCAGGGTTTCAGTATAGGGGTGGCAGTCACAGCCAATTAGAGCCAGCTCTGACACCAGAGTGTGACATCAACTGAAAAGTGTTGTGTCTAGGATACAGAAGAAATCCCATATCCTGGTCTCCATATAGAGGAAGACCAAATGCATGGCCCAGCTGTCAGCTGGGTGGGACTCCAAAATAGCCCCAGTTTGCATAATCAGACAGTAGCAAGTAATTGAGGATGAAATTTCAACTATGAATAAGTCCAAAAGAGTTAATCAAAAATCACTCTCACTTGGATTTTCTAATTGACTGCACAGCATGCATAGATCCTTTTAAAAGCATTAGTATCATTGCAGAACGTGAGTTTGCAGGTGTTTGAAAATCATTTGTCCTCAGGTTTAAAGAAATGCTGTGAGTGCTGGAATATCAACTCAGTGTTACTATGACCTAGAGTAAACTCAGTGAAAACAGAATAAGCTTTGGCAAAAACTAAGTTTTGTTTTCACTTAGAAAAATGGATCATCTTTTAGCTTGTGTTAGCTGATACCTACAACAAAATCTAGATTAAATAATTTTTCCCAGTATTAGGAAGCATAAAGTAAATACAGTCTCTCCTCCCCCACCTGCACGTTAGTTTTTAACTCAGGTATGTCCTGTCATCATTAGTATGTTATCACAGAATAACAAGCACATTTTTTATGCACAGATGATAAGAATATGCCTTGTGTGTAGGATAAGCTCTAGGACTTACACAGCCACTGTAGAACTTGGTGAAAAGCAGCTGTGGGAATTCATTGTTGTAGTGGACTATACGAAAGCACAGGGTACCCTGACCTCCTCTGCTTGAAATATCATGTAGACTGCTACTGGCATAAGCAAGGAAGCAAAAGCAGTTAAATTAGATGTCCACTTACTGTGAATTAAGTGATGTGAATAAGCACTGTGGCCAGTAAAGATTCAATCTTAATGTCTGACTTCTGCTCAGAAGTAGAACTAGCACTCTCCTTCCATTGTTTTCCAGCTCATTACACTTTTTTCCTTTTGTTTTAATCAGCACACAGAACCCAACACCTTCAGGTTTCAAAACAAATGATTATGCTGATGCCCAGCTTCAAGAGCTTGTCCGAAAAATGCGGGAAAGGGCAACAGTCTATAAGGAAAAGCTGAAAGACCCAGTGCTGTCCTCCCCTGAAGGCAGTCCTACAGCTTGTAAGTCACTCTAGAAATAGCTGTGTATTTGTTGAGTTTAAAGATGAAAATTATTTTATGGGAACAAAAATTACTGTGATAAAATTTTCAAGTAAGTGTAGTGTGTTTGTCCACTCAAACGGATCAGTTTGTGCCCCTAGTCTGAAGTCAATTTATCCATATCAGTCAATAATAAGCCTGGTCCTTAGGTATGAGCTCCCTTTGGACCCCATCACTGAAGAAATAGGGGGAAAATATCCCGGGCAATATGTAGAATCATCCCTGTCAAGACATCTTCTATATTTAAAAATGCTGCCAGATCTGTTTATTGATGGATATGAATCTGGAACACGAGACTTTTGTAAGTCTAGAAACATACAAAGCCATTGACTTCCCACTAGTTTCACATGCTGCATCTTGTGTATCAGACCTCAGGAGAGCGGAGATATAGCTCATGGTAGAACCATCTTTTCTTATGCCTGATGCAGATGTCTTGTCTTCTCCCACCCTAACTGCATGCATTATTTGCAAAAGTCAGGTAAAAAGAAATGCCCAGTTGCTTTAATGAATGCTGAATTATGAATTAGCTTATTTCTTGTGAGTCCTTTATGGCATTAGTTGCAGGCACTGTCCAAGGAGGAGCAGTAATATTGCACTTTATTACGTGAAGTGTCCTGTTCTTGGTAGCAGATGATTGTATCAGTCATGATTTTATTCACCAATCTATTTTCTAAGGCATTCAGTATTACAATGAATTGTAGCTTTAGTCACTGCCAAATGTTTTTAAAAGAGATTTTATCTATATCCTGTTGAAACAGAGTGTAGTAACTGAGCCATTATTAAAATGTCACCCTTTGTGGCATTCTATGTGGCTAGCACCAAAGAAGAAGCCTCCACCCCCACCAAAAGAAGAGAAAAAAGAAGAAAAGAAAGAGGAAGCAGAAGCAAAGCCAGAGGAGGATCACTACTGTGATATGCTATGCTGTAAATTCAAAAAACCTCCACTGAAAAAATACTTGGATTACCTGCAGCTACCAGACAGCATAGACTCATATACAGGTAAATTAAAAAGTATGTCATAGAATGAGGTAAAAGCATATTGAAGTCACCTAGTATATAGTACCTGTGAGCCACTATAAGATCCACATTCCGGTTTGCAACTTAGAGGGCCGCATATATCCTGCCTTAAAGAACATTTATTCCAAACAGGGAGAAGACATGAAAAATGACAACAATTGTAAAGTGAGTATGCACAAAGCTGGTATATGAATCAAGCACAATTAAACCCCAAGTCTTCTGACTCTTGATCTAGAATTTGTCCCATTCATTAGGGCCAAATAACTGTTTTATGAGTTATAACGTACACCAGCAACATGCAACATGTATTGAGATTCTTCAGATGCATTAAATTCTATGTTTTCATAAATTCACCTTTTTTCCCCTTTTGCAAATTCTTTGTGTGACTCCTAGCTCCAGCCTATGTCACTTTAGCAGCCTGTGCTGTTGAAAAAAGGAGAATGGTAGGTTGCTCTGGGCAGAAGCATTCACAGAGGCTGCAGTGGAATAAATATGTCTAAAAGACTGAAAAAAGATTCTAACTTCATGCCTAAATTCAATGTTTTTTTCTTTCAGATCACCGTTATGTAGCATGGCTTATGCTTGTGACAGTCGCCTATAATTGGAATTGCTGGTTTATTCCCCTTCGCTTTGTGTTCCCGTATCAAACCCCAAGTAATACAATATATTGGTTTACCATGGACATCCTTTGTGATATCTGCTATCTGTGTGACTTACTCATTTTCCAGCCCCGAGTGCAATTTATAAGAGGGGGAGATATAATAGTAAGTATTAGAAGTGGGGTTTCCATGGGTACTAGTTTTACATTAGAAAATAATGTGTATAGAAATTCCCTCTAATCTGACGCATTTTTGCTTGCCATGTCAAATCTATGTAACTTTTTCATATCTTCCATTATCCTATTTTGGAAGAAGGAGAAATATTCATTGTCTACATTCTTAAAAAGTTAAAAACAGATTTGAAAGTACACAGACCAGAGCAGTAAGAACAGGCATAAAGCTGTTTCTCACCAGGACTAAACTGGTGCAACTTTGCTGGAATCAGTGCAAGAATTGTAGTTGAAGACTGTACATATTCTGCTAGGGCTGGACAGGATATGCATGTTTTGTAACAGATTGTGAGATGGGGGGAATAGGGGGAAGGGCGCCAAAATCAGAGCAAATCCCTGAAATCTCAGAATGCTTAGAAAATAACTTATATGAAATATTTTATTTTGGGAAAATATATACATTCAATTTTGCTTTTTGCTACTATTTTTGTGCTTTTTTTGTTGAAAAATGCAAAATAAAACTCTAAGTATGTAAAAAGTGTTAACATATCAAAACGGCATCTGGAACTTCTTTCCTACTTTTGATTCTTTAACTTCTTATAAAAGAAAACCTAATGTGGAAAAAAATGAGTTTTGATAACTTCAGCGTGACACTACTATGTTCAACAGAAAATTCAAAATTATATATACTAAAATGTAATTTGGAACTAGCTTTAGTTCAGTGCTTTACATAAAATTTTACACATTGTGCATACAAGATATTACTGATATCTTTGCAGAGGAATTTCAGATAAAACTGTGCAAATATAGTCTGGATATATTTTAAATGCAGTGCAGTGTTATGTATTTTTCCATGCCAAGACATTCAGTAACCAGCAATCTTGCCTAAATCCTACAAAACTCACATTTTATGAACAAGGTTAAAACTCTAATGTAAGAAGCTTACCTTGTATTTCCCTTGAAGCTGTTTGTACAATTCATAGATTTTAGTGTGTGAAGAGATCATCTACTGCCTGATCTCCTGTATTTACTTTAATGCTTAAACTGAAAATAATGAAAAGTTGGCTTGGCAATATCCTTAAGATTTTAAAGCCATTTTTAAAGTGTCCCTGCTATAAATATAGAAAGCATAATAGTTACATTTCTTTAGATGCTTGTGATTATCCTTTCTTATTAAGGTATAAGCATCAGTTCCCATGGAGAGTAATTTAAAAATAAATATCTAATCATCACTAATGAATGCAGTGTTGATTATTATAATGCTAATAATGCTAGCATGTTACTGCTAGCTTTCAGAGAGCTAATTTTGTATAGCACCATAAGAAACATTCTTTGCATTTTTCTTGGAATAATTGAAGTCAAGTGGGGGTTTTGGTCCTGAAATTGAAAGGATTTGGCTCAAGCAACAACTGGTACAGATGTAGTGAGAGGGAAGTTTTATGGGAGAAATGTAACATACTTTTCTAGAGCAACAGCCAAGCTTGGAAAAAGTCAGACAAACCCTAAACCTGATTCTTTTCAAGTAGATGTAATAAAATCTGGTGTAATTAAAACTACTACTTCTTCCTACACGTATTTCTCCATTCATACTCTTAGAGCATGAATGATGACAATAGCTGTCATCATCCCTACTATCAGAAGAGAATTATTTTTACTATCAAGTACTAGAGGCTCATTCTTGACATTCTGTTCTTGGCTATGCCTTTTTGTCTTTTCGTTATCATTGTAGTCAGACAAAGTGGAAATGAAGAAATTCTACCACAGCTCTATCAAATTCCGGGTAAGCAGACCCTGTGTTATTGATGCAAATATGTACGTTCTGGCTGTAAGATTTCACAGGATATTTTTCATTCACTGAAAATCACCATTGTTTTAAGAACATCACCAGAGAGCATTGGCTTGATGGTATGCCAGTGCTCAATAGCTCAAGAATGCCATCTTCATAAAGGGTGGCAGAGCACTGGAACAGGCTGCCCAGGGAGGTTGTGGAGTCTTTCCCTCTGGAGACATTCAAAACCTGCCTGAATGTGTTCCCGTATAACCTGCTCTAGTTGGCCCTGTCTTAGCAGGGGGGTTTGGACTAGATGATCTCCAGAGGTCCCTTCCAACCCCAACCATTCTGTGATTCTGTGATTCTGTCATAAAATGTTTAATTGTAAACCAGAATAATTATAAATTCAATTATAAATATTAATTTTGAATAATAAATCAATGACATAGACTCAATAAAATTCTCTGTTTTGATGACTTGTTGTGAGGTCATCCCCTCACACGCTGAAAGACAATTGCGCAGTATGCCGGAGATTCATTAAACAAAATAAAATGTCTTGAAGTTAGATGATAAGTCTATTTGGTGAATTCTTATGAAGTACGTCATGGTACTGAATAGGATATCACTCACACAAGTAAACAAAAATTGAAACTAAAATTTTGGATGCTTATTGCACTTTGTAAAAACAAAAATTAATTTGATTTAAGAAAATCGTTAGTTTTTTTCCTAAATACTGTTTTTTGCGAACAGAGGACAGGTAGTCTGTTGTACACATACAGCTCTGTGATTCTGAGCCCACATCTATGAAACTTCAGTTATTATCCTCTTGTCTTCTGTAAATACTTTTGTATCTGCCTTGGTTTTGACTGTGGTATCATTACTTTTGTATTTGAGGTTCAGCTAGTCAAAAGTGCAGGATATATACAGGCAAGTGGATAGTACAAAGTCAAACTTACACCAAGAGAACTAAATGGATATATCTGGTTTTATTTTAAGTACACACTTGCAGTGTGTTTAGTGCTCTTGGTTTTTGCAGAAACTAATGAGGGTTGAGTGTTCTCGCTGAATGCAACGTAGATATAATCTAGGAATTTGTCATATGATTAAGTACTAATTAGCAGTTACTGATCTTGAAGCACTTCTGACTAAATTCTGCCTCCTCTTAGTCATGTGACTGAGAAAGAGACAGAGGCCACAAAAGGGTGTTTCTCCTCATTCAGTATTTTGGTTTGGTTGGCTTTTGTTCAGACCTCAGGTATTAACTGCATCTTACTTGGAATAAAAGGTCAGTGCTGCCGGCTACTTGCTACCAACATGGGTGGCATCACTCAGAACAAAAGCATTTCTGATTACAGCGAGATGAAGCCTACCCTTCCACATTCCTCTTTTGTTCCCAAATGATATCAGCAATAGAGCAAGGTGTCACAGGATATTTAGAAAGCCAAAGCCAAGTCTGCCACAGCTTTCCTTCTCTCCACAGAATTCTTGGAAAGAATAAAGTAGGCAGATAAAGAAGAGTAATCACTCGGTTGATGGATTGAAGGGAGATGTTGAAAATCTCAGTGTTATGGGAAGAAGCACCCAAATAAAACAAAAAGACAGTATCTATTTATAAAAAAAACAACAACCAAACTTATCATCCTGTGATGAATCTGTTGTTTGGAACACATGGCTTCTTCAGGTTGCAAACAAGGAGTTTAATTCATCAAGCTCCCCTGCATTGCTTTAAGCAGCATGGTTTTAAAAGACGTAGGACTTCTAAGAAGTGCTTGTGGAGTGATTTCCCCATGTCGCGGTTTAAGCCCAGCCAGTAACTCAGAACCATGCAGCCGCTCGCTCAGTCCCCACCTTCTTCCTTCCCCTGCTCCCAGAGGGATGGGGAGGAGAATCAGAAAAACGTTACTCCCATGGGCTGAGATAACAGCACTCCAGTAACTAAGGTATAATACAAATCACTACTGCTACCACCAATAATAATAATGATAAGGGAAATAACAAAGGGAGAGGACACAACCGCTCACCACCCACCAAATGACACCCAGCCAAACAAAAGCAGAGATCTGGGCCTTCTGGGTAACTCTCCCCAGTTTCTATACTGGGCATGACGTGCTGTGGTATGGAATAGCCCTTTGGCCAGTTTGGGTCAGGTGTCCTGTCTCTGCTTCCTCCCGGCTTCCCCTCCTCCCTGGCAGAGCATGAGACTGAGAAAGTCCTTGGTCAGGGTAAACATTACTGAGCAACAACTAAAAACATTGGTGTGTTATCAGCGTTGTTCCCAGACTGAAAGTCAAAAACACAGCACTGCACCAGCTACTGAGAAGGAGAAAAAATGACTGCTGTAGCTGAACCCAGGACACCCCACCTCCACTCACCAGCCACATGCCTACCGTTTTAGTTTGGTCAGAACTATAACTGAAATAACAGAATGTATTAGTAATTAAATGTCTGAGATACTGTTAACAATTCCCATGAAACAGATTAAAATTTCAGGCATGGGGGACTTAAAAGCAGGCCAGAGCAAATCTGTTGGTGTTTTTCAAGAGATAATCTTGCCTGCCAGTACTTGGGAAGTTACTGGCTTGTCATGCTGACTGTTCAATTATACTCAATCATGATTCAATCTAAGTACATTTTTGACAGCAAGTAAATGCATTATAATTATTATGAAGTTTAAATTGACCTCTCTGCTCTTTAACAGCTTGATGTGATATCAGTATTGCCATTTGACGTTTTATACTTCTTCTTTGGATTTAACCCAGCATTTAGAGCAAATAGGATGCTAAAGGTAAGATCTGCATTCATGATTGACAGCTAACCACACATAAATGTTTTACAACCCAATACAAATTTGTTTATAATGTTTAGGAGCATGAAATTTAGAAATTGGAGAATATCTTCAGGATAAGCTATAACATTAGTAAACAAACCAACAAAAAATACAAGATATAGTCCAGCTAATAAAGACCTTATTATCTTATTTTTCTTCTCACTTCATTATTTCCTACTTTCGAAATATGTTTCCTGATTAAAGCTGGTTTGTTTCCATTATTTTAATTAGATTAATCTTAAATTACCTGTTTAGCTTTCAAAGATTTAAGATCATTGATTGATGGCAATGTACTTTCCCCTTCGGTTGGTAACATCAGGCATTTAGAAGCAAAGGAAAGAATTTCAAGGACAACATAAACTATACACAGCATATCTAACAAACATAAACCCACTTTTGCTGTTGCATCCAGAGACATTATTCAATGAAGGGACTGAGAAGGGATTAGACAACAGCCCTCTACCTGAATTTCACAGGCTGCTTTGCTACTAGATACACTCCCCTTCACAAAGTCAATATGTTGACAAAGGGGGCTTTTGTTTAAAGGGGGTGACACAAGAAATCGAAGAATAAAATGAGGCTGCTCTTTGCTTCAGTTTTCAATAAAACATCAAAATTCCATAAATCAGAATCAACAAAATATGAAAGAATGAAAAGTTAAATAGCATCTCTTCTTGGGCAAACAGTCATGTACAGAACAAAAAGAAAAAGCTACATTCAAATATTGATGGCATATAATTAACAGGAAGAATTCAATACAGAGTAATTGATACTACATGATATCATCTAGTATCTAGTTGACACATATGATCACTTACTGAAGAATTATTGAAATTTTTGAAATTATTCAAATTATTGAAAAGAGAAAAAAAGGGATTTTTATGAGTGTAATTCTCTTAGATAAAGTTGTCCAAGCAGTTATATATGTTTGAGGAAGAAGTCATTCACCTGCAGCAGTCTGACCTACACAGAAGATTATTTCTATAATTAGATTAATAGGACTCTCAACACCCAAACCAAAGTTTAACTTAATCTCTATCTTTGTTTTGCAGTTAATCTTTTAATTAAATGTTTAAGTTCAACTACTGAAAAATCCGTTATTTTTAAAATGTGTATGTGAACTAATATCAGTACTATTATAAAAACACGTGTAGTAAAAAATAGTGATTGGATTACTTTGTTTTCCATTCAGCATAACACATTCTTTGAGTTTAATGATCGCTTGGAAGCTGTTCTGGACAAAGCATACATCTACAGGTATGTGCTTATCAAACTCTTGTAGCATGTAAAGCTTGGCACGGAATATATTCAATTCTTTGAAATTTCAATTGACAACTTCCAAGTTGTCAGTGAAGCCTTTAACTGTTCAAGTTAACATTTTTTAAAACATCTGTCTATTGTAATCATTAAAATAATAAATGTAAAGCTTCACTCACATATGAAATCTAGCTCAGTTCAGCTGGCTTGATTCAGGCAAAATGTTCAGCAGCATCAGGATCCTGCAAAATTTAACTGATCAGAAGTATCAGAATGAAGTTTCTTCAGTGAAAGAGCTAAAGAACAGTTTCCTTAGGCTGCTAATAGCAGTTCCAAATCCTCAGTAGCTGTTTATTTGTATTTTATAAGAGTTATGAGCTTGATCCTGCGTCAATATTTTTCTTCAAATATGCTGTCACCATGCACCTGGCATTTGCAGGAGCTTCATCCTCCATTGCTTTTTCTAAACTTGGAGTGAGAATCAACTTAGCACAGATCTCAAACAGTGATTATAACTGTTGCCCACTGCACTATGTTGTCACCTTCTGCACTGGCAGAAAGAATTTTGGATCTGGCTCAAGCAGCCTGTGGACATGGTTATGGCAAGTCTCATAGGCCTCTTAACTGTCAGTGGTGCTGCTAAGACCCAATGAACCAATCTACTGCGTTACTATTATTGCCATCGACTGTCAACATCATCAGTCCTAGTTTATTTTGTGCAGTTCCTAAACTGACAGATATTTTTGCCTGTCCCATTTTTGGGGCATGTGTTGTTCTTGTGTGCTGCTGCTGCTGCAGAAATAAAGATCTGTTGTTTACCATCTTATTTTATTTCTGAGATTGCACATAAATTGTAAACTTGGTATTTATACCTTACAAATGAGATATTTTATGAGATTCAGAAGCTAGTTAAACTTGAAAAGGAGTCTGAAACATCACAGTTGTCACATTTTCATGTACCTGCAAAACAAAACGAAACTCAGAAGTTTGAAAGTTCTGCTAAAGTATTTGTGAGATGCTGACCTCCTCAGAGATTATTCTTATATTGCACTCTCTTTTCACTTACTCAAGAGTCTTTTGACTCTTTGAGAGTGGTTTGGCATTTTTTTCTTCTTTCTTTTTTTAAATTCCTGTTGGTACATGAGAAGGCTTCACTGAATTTCCACAGGATGAAGAAGCTTCTTGTCAGTTTCTGTACCGCTGCCTCCCTGTGTTCCCCAATTTTTATCTCATGAAAAAGAATGGGGTTTCATCTGTCTTTCTTATAGTTGTTAACATTTTTTAGTGTTGAGAACTTTAATCAAGTATTTTCTATATTACATCCTTTACTTTGGAGTCATAATTCAATGACTTTCCTATGTCTCCTATAATAATTGCAGAGATACAGATTTTTAATATAGGTGGGTTTGAATTGTATTTAACAATAATGTTGTGTGTATATTGATTTCAAAGAAGTAGGAACAAATTAGCAAACCCATTTTCACCCAAACAAGCACATTTGCAGGGACATAGTTTCACACTATATAAAAGTATGGAATGGGAAATGGCTGTTTAAAAGGCAAGTGAGAATGGGATGTGAATATCTTTAAACTAGCCTAACTTTGAAGTTGTTAATTAATATTTATAATATTCATATTAATAAGAAATTAATATTGATTTGCATGTCAAAACCAGGCAAGGTTCACATTTAGAAATGCTAAGAAACACACAGCATGATCTCACTGGTCCTCTAAAATATATAAAGTAGCTAGAAAGACAGAGCCAGCTACTCTGCAAAGCTGTTCTGCCTTGATAGGCAGTTTTGCAGCATGGTATTGGTTGAGTGCCACAACTGTGTGCTGCTTCTTGTGTCTTCATTTCCTGGTCACAGGCCCACTTTCATTTTCCAATATTAAATCCATTGCGAAATGTAAATATTACAAAGCTAATCAATTGTTTACGTCCTAGCCTTAACAGGCCAGACACCTGAAATGTGTGAAAAAGAGCACTTTTCATCACTAAATAAATTGCAATTTTAAATCCCACTGAAGATGTTCAGAAAAACAATGGTAGATCACATGGACTTCAACACTGCTCAGCATACGTAGGGTTAACAGTATTAATGCTTAATTATCTACAGGCTTTCCCATCAGTGCATTGCTAAGCTATGTGGTAGGAAAAAAAAAGAAAAAAAGCCTGCATGCTGTGCTACCAAAATGTTAAATTTTGTATCTGCAAAATACCTGCTAAATATGACATGCTGTGCCTTCATTTAGTGCTTTAAAACATACTTCAGAAAACAGAAACTTCCTATTTTTGAGGTGTTCATTGGTAAAAACATAAGGCAAAGATCTTTTAACTGGCTTACTAGAAGCCATTAGGGTAACTAAAGAAAAAAGACAAATGGAGAAGAGAGGTAGCTATACAGAAGAAGAGTATAAATGTGAGATAAAAATATAAAAAAGATGGGCTGTTTGTGCAAACTGCAGCATTTCATTTGAATGTAGCAATGTTGTTTTGATCTGAGATCCTGGTGTGGTCACCATTTGAGCAATAAGGCACCAATTAATTGGATAATGTCAAATTAAACTACACAGCAAGTGTATGTGCCTGTGTGGACTCTCTTCTCAGACTCATTAGTTTGAGTTTGTAGGAATAGAGCTAGCAAAAGTTACTACATTTTATCTATGTATTGCAGTAGTTTCAACAGTGCCTAGAGAAATATAATATGTATTGTAGCAAAGGCTCTGTGAACCTTCATTCAGACTTCAGGAATCCACTTGCATGGATTCAAACTTGTGCACAAGACCCAGTCAATATTGCAATATTACTAGACCACATCAGCTATCTGCTGTTCTCAATAGCTTGCAACCCTAAATAGAGCTGTCCTGGAAGCACACCATTCACTTGTCAGTATCGTAAAGAAAAAGAGTACACATAGGTAGATTGCTCAGTGGCATAGAGAGGCAAAAGAGGGCATGCAATGGCACCTGAAGAACCAGCAAAGGAGCACATAATACAGAAGCAACTACAGAGATAGTCTCCCATTAACTTAGTTTATAGACCTAACTTAGATCTTATTAAAATTTCATAAAATCATAGCAGGTAAACTCATGATGTACTGGCTTCCCTGTGTTTAGCAAGTCCTGTACTTTTCCTGCTTACTTATCCATTGCCTGTATGAACATTCAAATGGACAGCTAAAGCCAGGAAATCTTTCTTTTGACCCCCATGCACTGAACAGAGGATATACAATGAGATCATCATTGTATTAAACACAAAGCTGCTTGTGCTTAAGTAGCTCACCAGTGGTGTTCTTCAAAGGTCTTGCTATAAGCATAAGAACTTGGATTAACGATGATAAAACTTCTGCTGTAGCTACTAAATCGTACTATTTAGTGGATCTACTGAAGGCTTCCTAGCACAGCTCTTGTAAAGCAGTTAATTTCTGACCTCAAACATTTCTTGGCCTTGGTTCACAATTTCAGAGCCTATCTTGAATAGAGTTTGGCAAATAGATTAATTTGTACCCTCTAACCTCATTAATATAGCTTCAAATTTCTGTAAATATTCATAGCCAGTTGAAGAAGTGGATTATTAAGCCCTCAGGGAACCATAATTTAAAAATTACCCCATCAAATATTCTAGGAAGGATATTTATTTTACCTTGCACAAACATGAGAGACGTAACTGCCAGCTATTTTTTTCAAAGAATCAATCAATACAGGTGGGGAACTACTTGGTGGACGCTTAACATAACATAAACACTGTTGATCCAAAAAAGCAATGGGTTCCATACCAAAAGGAAGGAAAAATGTAAGCTGTTTTAAAGGAATCTGTTGACTTTTACAGGGTCATTCGAACAACAGGATACTTGCTGTTTATCTTGCACATTAACGCATGCTTGTATTATTGGGCTTCAGACTATGAAGGACTTGGCAGCACGAGATGGGTGTACGATGGCCAAGGAAACATGTAAGTCCTTTCAGTTGCAAGTGAGTTTTGTTGGTTTTGCTCCATCCTGCACCCCCTTCCTTTTCTCATGCCTTTGCTTGCAGGGTATGCCCTTACTTTACGAGTGCTTGGATAGCAAACTTTTAGGACCATGACTGCTGATCAGCAGCTTTCATTGCTAACACATATTTGGAGGTCAGGTGCAGTGAATAATCAGTTTACCACTTTCAGCTTTTATAGGTTTATGAGTCACTGCTAAGCTCTAACTTAATTAAACATTTAGAAAGCAACAAGGCTCATAAATTAAACTTACTGATTGCATATGCACATGGGAACTGTTAGAAGGATTGTAGAACAATCCCTCAAAGGAATCAGAGGCATAGACATTTTTTTCTTGCCAGCATTGTGTCATTAAAATGCAACATTTTAGTCCCTCTAGATACCATGGTGATCAGTCTGAAAAAAATCCACCCACTTTCTCTGATCTTTTGAGAAGGTCATGCTTAAACATGTGGCAATGTCTCCAGTGGGAAGGAATGGATATTGGCACACTTTTTCACAAACTCCTCATGACAGCACTAAACTGGGTGCCAAGTAAGCGATATTCATTAGGATGATGGAGAGCAAGCAAGAGAAAATAGCAAAGTCATAATGTATTTTGTTTGCAGCTATATAAACACATACCTAGTCAGTTCAGATGTATGAGCGTTTATTTCTTCCAAAGGCCATAGTACAGTTAAAGCCATAGAAACTCAGCTTATTCATTAATTACATTCTTTGAAAAAACATGTATAATATACTACTGCTGTCATAAATCACCTTTTAAACAACTTTTCACGTTTCTCTTGGAGACTTGCTGCTCTTGCTTGTAATTTTGTCAGACTTCACAGGTTTGCTGTGAAGTCACTATCTTGAAGGGTAGGAAAATAACCTTTGAAACTAAAATACTCTTTGTGTAAAACAGCACTGATTTTTTTTTTTAAATAGGGTTCTCTCTCAAAAAAATGACATGGCTGAAATTTCCACACACCACTAAATATGCAGCTTGAGTACTGCAGTCAGACATGTGCAAGCAGGGTCATGGAGCTCGGTGGGACCACTTAGATAACGGAAGTTAATACAAAGGCATTTATTTGCTGGATCAAGGCTTACAGAAATCTGACGAGAAAAATGCAGAATGAATTTCTATTATAGCTATTTTTTTTTTAATGTCATTCTCAGGAATACTTGCCTCATGATTAAAAAATAAGGCGACTTAGGGCTGAGCAACCTCGAAACTCTGAAAGTAGAGCGCTAACTCAGTCTTCAGTTTTTTAATGCGTCTTCAGAACAGCCTACAGAACAGGCAAGAAAGCCTTCCTGGTTTTCATGGGCAAGAAAATTTGACATTTCACTCAGGGAAACAACTGGTAGAAATTATTTGCTAGCTTGATCACAGAAAATGCAGATGTGCCCACACGTAATGGTCAGGGGTTTTAGCATTTTGTGGTCTCTTTCCTGTGGGGAGACAAAAACATTTCTCAAATGTCACACTGAAATCACATGGGAATTAGGGTAGAATTTTTTCTAAACAATAATAATAAACTGATACTTCAAGTTCTGCATTAAATTGAGATGCTAAAATAAAATGCATATTAGAATATATCCCACTAATGGCAAATGCTTTGTGTGTGGGATAGTTATCACCCTAGAGAACCAGGTATGACATATCACCTGATTGTCAAATATTTGGGGATTTTTGACAGAAAGCCATTGTGTGAACATCAGTTATTATTGAAGATGTAATGTGAATTTAAACAAATTGAGCAAGATAGTTCTACGTATAAAATATGGGGAAAATCTGTCAGAAAAAGTGATCACTACTGCAGAATATATTATGGCACGACAATGCAGGTGTAATTTCTCTTCACCTAGCACTGAGTTGCCAATATGTGAAGCAAAATATGCCATTGGTCTCACATAGCATGGGAACACATTCAGAAAGAAGATGACAAACATAGCTTCTTAGCTAATTATTTTATAATGACAGCAAGCAGTTTGACAAATAAATCAAAGTTCTAGTGGTCTCAGATTATGCTCACCCAGAGCAAATGATCTGGCACTGATTTAGTGGCATGAATGTTTTATGTAGAGTCCCTGCTGTGTCCATAAAATGTTGCTAGTTATGGCCCAAACCAATTCTTAAAAACGTCAACACTTTTAGGTTGTTTTTGCTTTTTCCCTTTCCATGTGAAAAAGAATATACAGACAACAGTTTCCCTTATCAATTTGATTATATATATGTTCCTGAGCAGCCATACTAACAGGTGAACTTCAATTTAGAACTAACAGCTATACACAACACTCAAATCACAAGCAAAATTATCAAAATAGCTTCTTTTTGCAAATTTCTGCTAGTTGTATTCTTTTCCAGCTTGTTTCTAGACTCTAAAGGGTTAGTGCCGGTCCAAGAATACATGAGCCTTCAATCAAAGCCTTTGAGCTGAGGTGCAAAACTCAGTCAACTTTACCCAGCTGCAAACTGATCCAAACTAGCCACAGAAGATGTTCCCAGCATTAAAACTGCACTCATGAGCTTTGTATAACTAGGCAGACAGACCTCAGTCTCTCCTAATGCAGAAGGATGGTATTCCTGATACAACACCAGAGCGTAAGACCTATGTAACCACAGCAGCAGAATATTGAAAAGGTCTCTTAATTGCAGCTAAGTGACCATTTTGAAGTATATGTGTTTCTTTACAATCTAACTACCTAAGTAAGAGATCGGTCTCCCTAATTCCTGAGGAAAATGAACAAATCCTTTAGAAAGGGATTCAAGGCAGGAACATGATGTCATTGTTCTGAATTGTCCATTTCATCACTGCGCACAAGGGAAAACAAAACTAAAAGAGCTGAAATTCTCATGCAGACCCCCCAGGTCAACATTAAATTTAGACAAAGCAAATCACTCAATTTTGATCATGTTATATTTCTTCTGCTGTTTGAAAGGCATCCACAAGTAGTCTTCAAAATTCTCTGGCATATTTATTAATCAAGACATCTATTTGCATCCTCATTGTGTTTCTCTGTAGCTCATTTCCTGAAAGAAATACCTGAAAGTCCAAGAAAATAGTCACCATACGTGGTTAGAACAACTCTATTTTTTTTTTGTGTATGCCTTGCCCAACACACAGTACTACTGGCATATCTTAAAAGGTGTCTCATGGGTATCAGCTATACCTTGCACTTGCATTTGGTCTGATATGTCCCACTTGCCATCTTGCTACACAGAGGCAGTTTTGCACCTCCAGAAAATCTGTGAAAGCACAGCCCAACTCATGTCAGACCTAATGCTTTCAGAACTGCTACTTCCTGCCACACTTTTTAGATAAAAGCTTGGTAGTTTACACCATTCAGTCTGAGATCATCACATACTCACAGCCACCTGGTGAATAAGTCACTCAAGAAAAAGAGGCACCAAGAAGGAAGTCGTTAGAGTACCAGTTTATAAAGGCCACTTCTTTACCCTGCTAAAATCTATCCTGGTAATAATTTGAGAGGAGTCAAACATGGTAGCCCTGAAATAATGTTTCCCTGGGCTGAAATGAATGTGTTAATACCACCTTGAAACCTGATAGCCATGTTCACAAAGATTTGATTTGCCTCTATTCACCAAAACCTTGCTAGAAGTTTAATGTATTCTGAAATTGACTTTTATGAAGAAGATATTTCTACTAAAATAATATTACAGGGTGTATTACTTGCAGTGGGTTTCTTTGACTGTTTTCATACCTAGGACTTATTTTAGGGAAAATTCTAGTAGTTTAATTGCCTGAAGGATAAACATACTCACTATGTTGTGTAGAGGGAAAATCCCTTTCTTGTCTCATGTTGTTTGCTTCAACAGCAATTTTTTAGCAGGCCAGTAAGCCGTATGGTGAGCAACGACGGTTTCCAGATGCTAGCAAGTAGGAAGCAGAGTTGCTAATACCATTGAAATAGGAGTCTGTTTTTTCTGGCTTTCCTTAAACAGAATTTACAGACTCATTCCCCTTCTTAGGGGGGGAAAAAAAAAGAAAAAAAAAAAAAAGCCATTTTATATTTCAACTGTGTAACTTTTCTTTCAGATTAAAATAAAAGTAATAAAATGCATAAATGGAGAAAATATAAAACTTGTGCCTAAAAGGTAGTGAATATCATGTGACTTTGCAAGTAGAAAGTGTCTTTTGAGGTAAAATTAAAAAGGAATATAGTGTATCAAGTACATCTTTGTAGATGTTCCCAAAATTAAGATTATATTGTCTATCATGGTGGATTTAGCAAGCTTGGCATCCAAGGCCATTGGGGATGAGGGAATTGGTTAATTGCTTTTGTTTCCTACAGTAACTAGCACAGAAGTAATGTTAATTTCTTTACTTTTATATTAATAAATTGTACATGTTTCAAGCACTACAGCATTCTCAGTTATGGGAAATGAATATGATATAATTATGCTTCACATGATAATTCCCCTCCGACAAGCTAGAGAAATCATTTAATGCTTAAATCTGCAGTTCTTCCAGAACAGATCTGAGGCTTTTTCTTACTATTTATTTATGCTACAGAAGTCTAAGAGAAAGCTGCCACTTATCCATACTCTGCTGGAAGCATGCATAGGTGATGATTATTTTTTTTTTATTTTAACCCAAGAGAAAATATTATAGTGGTGTAATCCAGTTATTCTTTCTGCACCCCTAACAAGGAAAAACGATATGATAGCAGATATAGAATGAGGTCTTTTACTTAAGGACTCTGAATGAAAACAGACAGTTCTGGCTGTTAAAATCTCCGATTAGAAAACTATTGTAAAAGTGATTATTTGTTACTCCATTTCATTAATTTGCAACCAAGAAAAAAGTGATTTGGTAATGAAAAGCAAAAATTCATTGCTTGGTAAAGCCTGACATTTTAGATTAAAGATTTGGGAACACCTCTGAGTGATTTCAATAAAAACTCTCACTGAAATTGGTTGAGTATATGAGAGTTTTTTTCTCTTATTTGCACAAAAATAATTCTCCAATTGCATTGTTACATGAACCACTTATTAGTAGGAGTGGAATACATATCTTAATAAGAGCAGAGTTTAAAACTGGAGACCACCAAGTTAAAATGTATACCTGAAGTCTGCAAGCAGACTGGGTGGTCTCAGATTCAGGGTAGGCATGGGAAGATGCATGCAAGACTGTCTATTTAAAAACGAACATCTCCAAAAATATTTCTTCTGTGATTTTGTTTTGGAGTGGGTTTGTTTATTTATTTCAAACTCAACAAAAATCAGCAAATAGAGGAATCTTCATTGCTTCAGAAGCAATAGTCATAGATGAATTAATAGAAAATCTCATTGCACAGTTAAAGAAAATGAACTCCCACTCCTAATCGTTAATGAAGCTGAAGTCTGATTGTACAGAGACTTAGAAAGTCAAATTCTAATTAATAAGAGGTCTTTAAAAGTATTCCTCAACCAACTACTTATTAGCACAGAAAAAAAAGGAAATGATAGCACATTCACAATAGTGATTTGAACTAATTAATCCCCACTGCACGGTACGGGGGATGCTGCATTACTAGTGGTGCCATGTTCTAGAAGTAAATTTAAAACAGAATCTTAGAGATGACAAGACACTTACATATATATATTTAAGAGAGTTAGTATGACTATCCTCACAGAATTAAAGAAAAAAATTAATTCTGTCCAAATCCTTTGTTGTTTTAATAAACTTGTGTTATCATACAAATAGAAATGCACCACCTGAATGCAACAAGCTCTGTCATGCACAAGGCTGTACAAAGAAGGCTGTACAAACAGAACAAAAAGCCTTCGTCCAGAGCGCTCACACTTCAGGTATGTGAAATGACAGACAACAGACCAATGCTGTTGAAGGGGTCAGTAAACCATATGTTGAAGCAGAGTCTTAGTGATTGACCATTGCTCCCTGCTATGAAAGTGGAGAAAACACGAAAGTGTTTGTTAAGGTGACAGAAGGGGTAGTAGAGGACAGCCACTAGGAGTTAATGCAGGAGTCAACCTTTCAGTGCTGAATAAATGGAGTGATTTGGAGAAGCTGGATTAACACACAGATTGTGGAGTCATGTGACTTCTGTTTGACGTAACCCAGGATGCTATGAAGAGTGCTCAGGAGCAGAGTGGGAGTAAGACCAGCATGGTTAAAGGGGTAGGAATATTGATGGGCACAAGAAGAACACTCGTGCATTCGTTGTGCCCACCATAAGGCTTCACACTGGTGTCATCAAGTGAAGCCACGGAAAAGACCTTCAGCTGTGAATCTGTGTGCATCCAGTACACTACAGATGGGAAGTCTCTAAACTGCCTTTAACATGAGGGCATCTTCACTGGTAGCATTCTAACACTGTAATGTACACATTGGCAACATGTTACAGAAATCTGTAGTGCTGCACAGAGTTACTGGAGAACAGTGGGTAACCACTGCATTTCCCATGTACTTTATTTTGTTGTCAGTGAGAACATTCAGCTCAATGTGATTTATATAACTATCATTTGTAAAATCATATCCCTTTATAAAAAATACTGAAGGTTTTTTGGACCGAAAAGCATCACTGAAGGCCCAACTCAGGTACGTATCTGCTTAAGTACAGATACATAACTACATAAGTACCTACAGTCAGTAACAAAAATGTTTTCTGTATCCACAGGTATCTGAGGTGTTATTACTGGGCAGTTCGTACTTTGATCACCATCGGTGGCCTTCCAGAACCACAAACTCTGTTTGAGATAGTTTTTCAACTGCTGAACTTTTTCCTGGGTGTCTTCGTCTTCTCCAGCTTAATTGGTCAGGTATATCCAAAAATCAATAACTACGTATGTTTAAATCACTGTAATGTAGTGATAATATATTCAACTTAATGGAGTTTTGTTCTGGGAAAAAGTCTAGCTTTCATCTGAATGTCCCTCTATTTAGCTGTCATCGGTACTTATTCTTCCAACAAATACATGTGTTTAATCTGTTCCCAGTTTTATAGCTCTTTTGCACAGAAGCTGATTTAGAGCCAAGACTCTGCAGGACATGAATGATTCTTGAAACTATGCATAGTTCCTTTTGAATTCCTCAGAAGCAAGGAGATAGTCCCTTGATATTCACATTATGCTGTTAAATCTGATATAAAAATTATAATTGTAGGTGTGATATTAACAAGTACAGATTATTGAATAAGTCACTTTCAATACTATTGACAATAGAATACTGTTAATGGAAATCCCATGATTTTTGTCAAACAAGAATTCTGCTCCCTGCCATAAATTACAATATAATTGTTAACCAGAAAATTTACTGTTTTCTAGTTCTCTTGGTCTCACTTGACATGAGGGGAAAAAAAAAAAAAAAGCCCATAGCACAGCAAATCTTTTAGATTTCCAAATGAATATAAATGAAATATTTCTGGCTTGTAACTATTAAACTTGGGTCCCAGATCCACAGGTTTTGAAATACCTTGCCTACAAAAAACAAATGCCATGGTCCCTATGTAAGACTGTGTCTTATTGGATTCCTGTAAAAATCATTCCAGACTTTTTGATTTGTACATGTTTATAATTGGAAGAATTATTATGAAAAAATAGAGATGAAAACTGAATATAGCATTCAAAAAGTTCAATCAAACAGTTCAAAATTGTACACATCTTGTTTAGAAGTGCATGAAGAGATAGCTATCATGAAACAGACTCTTGCCTATAGGACTTAAAATTCATCCACAAACAAAAATTACCAAAAATAAAATGAAGTAGTTCATATAATATATTTCTTCTGGAAAACTATTAAATGCAAGTATATTGCATTAAAATTCAGAGTGTGCATATTTATTTTTTTTTTCTAAATTGATATAACTTTCAATGAAAACACCATTCCCCGAGAAGATTCTGCTGATTAGTTTCTGTAACCAGTACAATCATTTGCAGACTTAAACTTTAAATCTTAACACATGAATTGCTTTACTGCAGTTCCCATTTACAAAAAGCTCTTAAATTTACTGAGTTATTCCTGGTTTAGCACACTTGCCTAAAAGCTGATATTCCTATTGCAAGCAATTGCATTTCTGTAATAAAGAGCAGAATTCACCCCACCGGCACACTAATCCTTGGTCACTGCACTATGAAGCCATTCTACTAAAATGCTTTTGAAGAAGAAATATCTATGAACATTAACTCATCTACTTTCTAAAAGCTGAATTACGTTTGTGCTGGAATGTTAAGTGATGTTCCTCCACTAAAAACTTCAGGGTCAACTTTCAGATCAAAGTACACCTAGATCTGACCTCGAGTCTCTCAAGTATTTGAAGAGTGGCAGGATCTTAATTCTCAGTGGTGCCAGCTAAAGTTGTTAGAGAAATTTAGGCCTGTTTGCTTCACTTCTGACTTGCATGGCACACCAAATGCAGAGTAGCTTTATTATGGATTTTTAAGAAAAGATCTGTCTTTATTTTTCATCCATGTCCAGAAATATGAGACAGAATAATAAACTGAAACCCCAAATGATTCCTTTAAAATGATGACTACTTTCCAACATAATTAGAATAAATCTGTAATGCTTCTGAAAAAGCAGATGAAGCACCTATTCCAAACATGCAGCTGAAGGTGTAATTAATAAGTGATTTTGCAAACAAGTGTATTATTCTTTCTATATGTGTTGACAAACCACAACTGTTCAAATCACAACTATTTTTTCTGAAATGCATAGTAACCATAACTGATATTTGCAGATGAGAGATGTAATTGGAGCAGCTACAGCAGGACAGAACTACTACCGCTCCTGTATGGACAACACTGTCTCCTATATGAACACTTACTCCATTCCAAAATTGGTCCAAAATCGAGTTCGAACCTGGTATGAGTACACATGGGCCTCTCAGGGAATGCTGGGTAAGGCTTTCCAATTCCAGTTATGCAACAACTCCAAGTGTAAGTGGTGGTATAGATACAGATGTAGGGTGAAATTCACACTTTTTCTGAATTGCATGTGAGAAGTGAGAGGAGGCTATCCAACTTACTTTAGAAAAGTAAAAAGCTTCAAAGCACTAAGGCTCTTACTGCTTCCGCATTGGAGCTTGTATAGCTCCATTGATTTATTTTTTTGTATGGTGCTGATTTTTATGGACATTCTTCCTTTATATTTTCAAATAATAGAGTTTGCTCATTTTTTTTTTTTTCCTCTTCTACAGATGAATCAGAATTACTGGAGCAGATGCCATCCAAAATGCAATTAGCCATTGCAATAGACGTGAACTTCGCCATCGTCAATAAAGTTGACTTATTCAAAGCAAGTAGTTTTACAGGATAATGAAGAAATATGTGGTATTCCTGAGACAGAAACCTTGTTTTCTGCACCTTGAAACCCTTAAGAGCATTTGTTAATTTGTTAATATGCAAGGCAAAATAGGTCTAACAAATATCCCAGTTAATGGAGACATGTAAAGAAAAAGCCAAGTGCCTGCCTTTGAAATTTTTTTTGTGTCAAAGCAGAGATTGAAAACAAAGAAACAAATGAGACCCAGTGCTGTTACATTCACATGTAACATGTAAAGCTGATGTTATGGTCAGGCTGTAAGTGATTTCAGAGTATAATTCATCTCAAGAGTAATTAAAAATTAAAATTAAATATGAAATTAAAAATTACATTAAAAATTTAATTTTTAATACCGTCCACGTTGCTGTATGTTGCCTGCGTCTGCCTGAGAGATCTCTCTGCCTAAGAGATCATGAGTGCTCTGTGTTCTGGCAACATAACTTTGATGTAATGAATGTTACCTTTTAGTAAGTTTTTGTGCAAAGGAGTTTTCTCTTTACTATCACGGTAGTTTTCCAGAGATACAATTTAAATCTGGCATTTAGGATTGGATTTCTGACACTGAAAACAAGGAGACGCTGCATTTTTAGTAGTTGGTATACTGTAACATTAATACTAATTTCTTTGTTAAGATAATTGCAAGAAATCATATGATATCGCTGTATAAACATCACATAGCTGCATGGTTTCTGCCATGTTTGCTGAAGACATGGAATTCATAGATTCATACCAACATCTGACATGATTTGTTTGGGGTTTTTTTCCCTGGGTCTGTAAAAAGAATTCACATAAAAGATCCATAAAGTTCTGAACATGGCACTAACTGAGCTTCCATGGTGAATTTAGTGTACTTAAGCTTACTTTGAAAAAATTAAAAGATGTTCAAGCCAAAGAGAACTTTGTAAGATGTGAAATGACTTTTTTCCATTTTTTTTCTCTCTAACAGCTGATCATTATGACGTTTTTAGTTTGTATGCCACTTACGAATCTCTGGATCATTCATGTGTTGTTGGGTTTCACTGCTCAGTGTAAGCACTAATAGTCACTTGTGCTACTGAATTACTAGAACAACAAATTCTATTTTAACAGGGGTGTGATACCCAGATGATATACGACATGCTGCTAAGGTTGAAATCCATTGTGTATTTACCTGGTGACTTTGTCTGCAAAAAGGTGAGCACATCTTGTCTCTTTCAAATAATGATCACAGTATGTGTTTTAGAAAAAGAGTTCAGATACCAGTCAATAGTGCCTCCTTTAAAACTAATCCTGAGTGAAGTAGATAGCATAAAAGTAATTAAGGTTCTCTGTGTAATAATAACAAATGTGCTCTCAAATTTCAACCTAGAAGAAGGCAATATGGATTTTATTACTTACACTATCAAACATAAAAATATAGTAATATGGGAAAGTATTTAATGGCAATAAGGCTTATCTAATCATACATCATGAAGTTTTAATATTTAAAATGGAGCAAGCTTATTTTGTTTATACATATATACATATAAACCTAGCTTACAGGTCTCATTCTATGATGCTTTGCATGTGCTTCATTTGTGTATTCTGACACTTAAGTGGAATTATCTAAGAAGATAGAAATTACACTGCATCCATACCACTCCTCTCAGCAGGATTTGATCTTGCTCTGCCTTCACTCACAGCTCAGAGCAGCTCCACACTTTCAGCTGAATGCTGTCACACTATCCCTTCACAAAGACTCCTATTAAATGCAGCCTTATAGTAACAGAGGTAGGTAGATAGCTCAGCTTCTGACCAAGTGAGCCAAAGTGTCTTTTCAGAAGGAATGTAAACATACTCACAGGCAGTGTAGGATGTAATGAAAGCATGAGGGGGATGAAGTATCAGCACTTTTCTGGCAAGTGACCCACAGTTCACACCATACCGAGAAGTGACAATCAGAACCCCTTACTGTCTTTAGCAGTTCTGGTCCAGGATGCTCACTAAGGTCCTGCTCCCTCCAAGAGTTAATCATATGATCCTCTTCCCAAAGGCTAAGTTAGTCCCACTGACTCCACAGTGTAGGAAGTTAAACAGTTGTGAATGTACCAAAGGATCAGGTGTGCCTCTTCAAAGACCAATCCCAGAATTACTGCTGGCCAGGAAGGGTGGAAGAGTAATTTGGTATGTTTGTTGTGCAATGCACAGCACAGAAGTATCTTAGGCTGCAGCCAGAACAGAGATAATAAATGACAGTAAAAGATTCAAGGTCTTGATACTGCAGTCAGATGCAAACAGTTTTCAACAAGGATGGATTATGAGAAATTCCAGTTTGATTCAGTTAAAATGCCTCTCACCTGTATAAATCTACTATGTGGCCAACAACCATATTAATCCTAATAATGCTGTAACACACAGTAGGGAATAAAATCCTGCTAGAACCACCTACTCCTTGGGTGTATGTTGGCCTCATCATACTTAGGAGGCTCTGCATACAGGCTGGAAGGAGCAAGTGAAGGGATAGCAAGTGCAAGCCCTGTGTTTCATCTTAGCTTTGTCACTGTTGCCTTTTCACTTTTCAAATTAAATTGCTTTTTTGCCTCAGTTACTCCAGTTGCACCAGTGGAAAAATAGTTATTTGCCTTACTGAAACGTTGTGAGGACTTTTATGATCATGTTTGCAAAGTTCATTATATTACTCCAGTTTTTACCTGGTTTTTATTGTATGTACTGATGTCACACCATTGAAACCTAGCAGATCATGTGGAGGATAATAAATAAACCAATAATCTCTTCAACCATCCAGTGGTTACACAAAAGCTTATATAATTTTAATGACTGTTTATTCTTATTTTTCTTTTATATTAGGCAAGTGATGAGTAGAAGTAATAGTGTAAAAACTGAAGCTTTTAAATCATGAAGCAGAGGCTTTTTTGCACTTCTCAGCTATTAAATACACTGCTGCTGTACTTTAATTTCCACCAGAACAGTTGATGGAAATGACTGCTACAATCCTGCTTATTATTCTTTTTCCAAGCTGGCCTAGATGGTCTTCTTACTTCTGTTCAAATATTGACGCATATCACAATTAGAGTTGCAAAGTCAGTCCCTGCATTTGTGCTCAGTGCTAGGAAAAGTAGTGCAAACTTTTATTTCTCCACAATAGCAGTAAACCTGTTTATAAGAGAGTGGAAGCATATTTAAAAAGTCCGACTGATTATTTTAACAAAAAATCCCTGCCCTGCTAAAACATGGGATCTTTCTGTGTTTGTGTGCCCAGGGAGAGATTGGCAGAGAGATGTACATCATCAAACAGGGTGAAGTTCAAGTCCTTGGAGGCCCTGATGGTACAAAAGTCTTGGTTACACTACGAGCAGGAGCTGTATTTGGGGAGATCAGGTAGGTCCGTCGCTATTTTTAGCGCTTTCTTTAGAACTGGTCAAATAATCAATGGTTGTTCAACTTCTTGTTTAACTTTACTTTCATGGTAAGCATGACAGCTACCATGGGGAGGCTAGAAAGTGGGTAGGATCAGCCAAGAGGACACTGAACAAGGAGATGCAGGTAAGTGAAGGAAAATCTAAGTGAAGCATCATAGATTAATCTGGCAAGATCTTAGACCAGATTTTTAGGCAATGTACACAGGGATATACAGACAAATTTCTCCTTCAGCATTTAAAAGATTTAATACATCTTCCTGTTCCGAGGTCTGCAATACAGCAGGACCAAATGCATTTTATTGCCTCTAGTGAGACTAATTGCCCTTACACAGCAGATGGTAAAAATTATAATTAATTTCTAACAAAGGAGATAAAAAATTTAAAATAGCAAACAAAACTAGTTCATTTAGGATCTGAAGTAGGGATCAAGTTGCCAAAAATCAGGCATCCACATTTGAAAATGTATTTGTTTAAGAACATTGGAAACAAGATAAAGGCTGACATACCAGAGTTTTGGGTTTGAGTTTTCTGGAGGATAAAATATTTGTTTGAAAGCTAAAAAGGTTTTTTATTTTCTCCATGTGGTTGCTACACAAAATCCACTAACTCTTACGTGCAATGTTCCCCAATTAACCAAGCAAGGGCTAGATTTTAGGTACTACATCCCCTGCTGAGGCTGGCCTGAGGAAAAGCAATAAAATACATATGCTGCTGTATGTGATAAACTGGATCCTTGATGTCTTCCAGCTGCCTTCCTGTTATTGTTAATCCTCTTGCTGGTAGCTTTAATCTGCCTTTTGAAAAGCACTAATCAGCTCTGTGCCAAGTTTACATTTATCTTCTACTTGTGTCTCCCTTTGTAGTAGCAGAAACATTCCAGGGACATGCGTTTATCCAGGGACGTCTGTACAGAACTTGCTTAGACCTCAAGTGGAAAAAACCTGATATATCCTACAGATACAGAACTTTTTCATTGAGTGGGAAAGTGAAATTGTATCAGCTGTTTGAGGGAAGGGTATTTGAAAGGTATTTCTCTGTGTGACAATATAATACCTGAGCAAAGCCTCAAAGCAAAACGCTGCATTGTAAGCTACGTGGGAAGGCTGAGAATGCACTGGTGTTTGGTACAGGCTGAATTATGAAAGATTAAAAGAAAAGGCTACAGCAGCCCAAATGTGTAACACGCACACAGTTTTCAATTATTTATTAGTCTTGTATTTGGAGAGAGGGCTTTATTTTTTAAACTGAGAAATTATAATGATTGGTTTTAAAACAAGGAAGGGATTTTCAGACTTTTGATCTAATACAGGTGAGCATGTGAGAACTACACAACAACCTTTAAAAGATTAATTTCCCAGTAGGTGTTTACATAACTGCCCATACATCCAGTAAACCCCTCAGCAATGCTATAACCCCGCACTTTTAGACTTGTTTTACTCATTGACTTGTTGCAACAGCATACCCAAACAGATGCACGTAACTTGTACCTAAATGTCGGGTAGAGGACAAACTCAAGGAGAAAAGACAGAGCAAGTGGCAGACATCTCCAAAACTGAAGAAAATCAAAGACATGAAGCACTAAGTTTGTTGGTAGAGATTTGTCTTCTTCCTTTGGCAAAGTGTTAGAAAATAATGAGTTTGTATAGAGCCTTCCTGTATAAGTTTTGTCAAGGTCTTCTGAATACTGTGTAGCAGAAGCAAATGAAAAGATATTCTTAATGGAAGAAATATTGCTTCATTTAGCACATCCAAGTTTTCCCCTCAGTATTCATAGCATGGTTATCACCTGACACAAGACTGATTTCCTTCTGATTTCTGATTCAAGATTTGTTTAGAGAAATATGTCAGCTTCATTCTGAGGGGTTTAACTACATGATTTATAATACACTTGCTGTCTAATCTCACCCTGTTCAAAATTCATGTAAATGATGCACAAAAAGTCTCTGAGGGCAAAGGAGGTGAAGAAAACAAAACATGTTTACTTCAGAAAAATTCCCTGAATTATACCAGAAGGCCAATGCAAGACTAATATCCAAACAAGTCCTTTGCCAATTTCATCCTTGGAAATTATTACAGAAACAGATTAAGTAATAAGAGTTGCCTTCTAATTAACATTTTACCCTCATTACTGCTTTCCTGTATAGATAATATCAGTTTGAGGAAGTAAAATAATCTCAGAATCAGAGTCAAACAGATTGCTGCCTTAATGAGAGCCTGTCTGCACAGACAATTGAGAAGGAGAGAAACCCAGCTATAACACAACACCTCATTAGCCCAGAGAAATTTACACTTTAAGCCAGATGTCCTCATTCATCCATTCACTGATCTTTCACTAGGAATATTTCCTATCAGAAAATGGTAATTCTGGACAAATTAAAACATTTCTCCACTATATGTATATTTTTTACAGGAAGATCTTTAAATGTTTGGTCTCATCTTTAGCTTTTTTTTTTTAAAAAAAAAAACAAACAGATAAGTTGATTTGCTGTTTTGACAATTTTATACCTCAAAGATGATCAGTCAGAGGCCTGCAGTACCTCTCCTGCAGAGACAGGCAGAGAGCTGGGCTTGTTCAGTCTGCAGAAGACTCCAGGAGGGCCCTCTAGCAGTACCTTCCAGTATGTAACAGGGGCCTGCAAGAAATCTGGAGAGGGACTTTTTACAAGGGCCTGTTGTGATAGGACAAGGGGGAATGGCTTCAAACTGAAAAAGGGTAGATTTAGACTGGATGTTAGGAAGAAATTCTTTACCGTGAGGGTAGTGAGGTGCTGGCACAGGTTGTCCAGAGAAGCTGTGGCTGCCCCATCCCTGGAAGTGCTCAAGGACAGGTTTGACGGGGCTTTGAGCAATCTGGTCTAGTGGAAGGTGTCCCTGCCTGTGAGGCTGGGGTTGGAACTCGATGATCTTTAAGGTCCCTTCCAATCCAAACCATTCTATGATTCTACAAAAATAAATTTTCTAGCATAAAAATTCAAAACTTATCATATCACACTAATATTGGAACTTTTTAGGCTAACAACTGGAGTAAAATATGTAAGGTTAAAAAGGAAAATGTCTTTGTTAATATATGTCTTAAATTATCGAGAACTATGGCAAGGCAAATATAGGATTTTTATAAAGTTTGGTCTATCATGTACCAGGATACTAGCCAAAATGTGTTCAACGGTGAAGCCTCTAACACTGTCCTTAGTCAAAGGTGATTCTGTTTGAGGCAAGGACTGCCTTACTTGTAAAATTCACCTCACATCATCACCGTAATGGAAAAGCTGATCTCTTCAGTCCTAGTCTGCCTCCATAAAATGAGCTTTTTGTTAGGAAAGCCTGAAAATGATTGCTCAATGACTTGTTGAGAAGTGATTCATCACAACTCAAAAGCTGTTTGCAATTTCCTTTAGTTGCTTTCTTTATTGTGCAAATAGTTTTATTCTATCTGAGGAATTGTAAAGAATTGTTTAAAAAGAAGACTGAATTTTCAGCTTGAGTTCATATATTGATTGCTGTCTTGGGTTGCAGAAAAGCATTCTGTGTGTATGTGTAAAAATTGCAGTGGTCTCATATTATCATTATAAATCAAATATATCATCAGTATAATCCAATATTTACAAACGTGTCTTATAAATATATGTAATATCAAAACTAATTTTCATATATTCTTGGTTAAAATTAGGTAAGCAGTAATGTATGCTTTATGGGTTCCAGATTATCCTTTGTTAATAAATTTTAAATGTAGGGATTACTAAATATTCTCTAAAAATATTAACTCCCTGGGAAATCTTTAAGGAATAAATTTTAGGGTAGATCTCATTGAATACAGCGATAAAGCAATTTTAGTTCTATCAGCAAAATGCAAATTCTCTTACTTATCACCACAGTGAGAAGTGAAATCTCCTAATTTCATTTGCTCAGCGCAAAATGAACAATTTAATTTTTATTTGTAAAACATCTAATTTTTATATGGATACCCTTCCTACGGCCAACTGCTGCTTCCTAAACCAGTCTAATGCCTTACTTTCAAAACAAAATAGCTTTCTTTTTCTGGCAGACACATTTGTATCTGTCAGCCTGAAAGACCTTCCTAATCTATATAATTCAACTTGCCAAAACTCAAACATGAGATGTGGTATGTGAGAAAACTGAAAACTGGAGTCCCACAGAAGTTATTCACTCAAGAAAATTAAAATTCCTGGACAATCATTCACTCATTGTAAATAACCCTTTCATTAATATTGAATTTGTGCTGCTCTACTTCTGATGTAAATAATTTTCAACAATAAAATTGAGGAAATTACAAGTTCATATGAGGACTGAAACAAATGTGGCCCTTTCAATGAGTGTCTCTTGGGAGAATCTCTCCATCTAGCAAGACTTTTCACAGTCCTTAACATCTACATATGCCTAATCAGCAGTGACAATTTGCCTTCCTGAGGCAAAATATTTCTACTCCCAACTGCAAAGGGCCTTTAAAGAACATCAGATAGAACAATTGGGTATATAAGTGAGCTTTAGGGTGACTTTAATGTAGAACCACCAGCAAAGAAATTCCTCACTAGGACAAGTAACGATGTGACTGATGATGTTTATTTTCATTGCAGCCTACTAGCTGCAGGTGGAGGAAATCGAAGGACTGCCAACGTGGTAGCTCATGGTTTTGCCAACCTTTTCATTCTGGACAAGAAAACACTCAATGAAATCTTGGTGCACTATCCTGACTCAGAAAAACTTCTCATGAAGAAAGCAAAGTACGTCCTAGTAACAGTATTTAAATCACATTATTTAGCTGCAGAATGGATAGTTGTGGCTTCTAGACAGATTTGCACTCCTTTCTTGGAAGAGTAACAGATATAAACACATTTGTATTTAGAGGTCAGGTTTGCCTCGCAGTATATAGTGGAAGTCATGGTCTTGGCAGGGATTCCAAGGGTTGTGGAAATACGGTAAGTAGAATGAAGTCTTGATGGTAGCTGCCTTCTTTGTATTGAAGGTAACAAAACAACTATGAGATACAGATGTATATTAGGATTCCTTACATAGTCAAGAAACAAACTACAGGTCAGATATCAGTTAAGGAGCAGGTTTTCAAAGATGCAAATGAACACTCGGAATTAGTTTTACAGAGATATGCTTCAATGCACCCAGATTTGTATGCATTTCCAAAACCTCAAGCAGTAGTTAGGAATAGATTTAAAGTAATGCCCAACAAGATAGAAGTACACAGACTGGAGAGGTGTCGAATTTGTTCAATAGGATTGTGAAATGGGATTTCAAACCCAAATTGCTTCTCATTTTGCTTTGGCTGCAGCTTGCTAGGATCACTATTTCCCCAGCTTTGAAAAAACAAAATATTGTCAGATTTTGTCATAAAATTATGACAAAATTAGTAACTTGCTACCTTGTAAAAGGTCCAGATAGTTGAAACGCTTTGTCATTATTAGCATACTTCAGCACTCATTGCTCTCGGCTGTTGCCTTGGCCCTGCTATCAAAGATTGGAAGGTTGCTCCCAGATATAAAATTCTACCAGAGCAGACTAAACATAGCACAGGAGTGACATTTTGGTTAGTGGAAGAGCTAGCAGATGGTTGCATTCAGCATGTTTCAACAGCCCTGGTTGTCAAATGACAGTATCTTGAGAATCATCTCATCCCTGAGGAACAAGGAACCGAGACACAGGATGGACTCATTGCCCAATTTTCAAAACCAGCATCAACAGGTAGAAAGGTGGAACAAATCCACTGACTGATGGTCCCCTGCATTTATCATAGAATCAACTAGGTTGGAAAAGACCTTTAAGTTCATCCAGTCCAACCATTACCCAGGATTGCCAAGACCACTAATCCACTAACCACTAAACTGAGGGATATCCTTCCCGACTTTTCTCCAGCGTCTTTCTAAACAGTTGTACAACCATCAGTACTTATTATTCCTGTCTCCGTCCCACACTGCCACCTTCTTTCTTGCCCACCCTAATCATATCTTGTTAAGCCACTGCATTCTGCTTCCTCCAGATAGCCTTTCTCAACTGCAGGAGCTTAATCATCCATCCTTTGTATCTGCACTCCCATTTGAGCTCACACCCTCTCTAGATATTTGAATAGATACAGGATATCCTGCTTGATTTTAAAGACATGCGGTACCTGCCCTGTGCTGGAAGCCATGCATTCTGCTCAGCTGTCTAGGCACTCAGTAAGTTTTCCAAACCTCCCATGCTCTTTGTATGGTCAGCCACGTCTCTAGAAAAGCTAGGCATCAACAGAGATTTGTGTGCTGTTTTGATAAAGATTGCAGTTGTGTTCCGTTTTGGAATCAGGTTATCAGTTGCTCTGCCCTGGAAGGTTTACATCAGAGCTGTCTGCTGGATTGCATTGGCCATCCTGTACCTTTAAAGGGCTTCTTGAAATAAACTCAAAGGATCAACTCAAGCAAGAAATTTATTCTATTATCACGTGCCTGATAGTCACTGTATGGTGTTTGCATAAAAAACCCATGCTAACTGCAGAAGTGAACCTTTCAAATTTATGGCAATAAAAAGAGTTACATAGTAGAAGATGCTGGAGAAAATTATAGTATTATGGGCTTTACTGTACTTCAGACTGCAAGTAGAGTCCTTGTTCATAAAAAGCTTTAAGTAAGGGCTTTTGCAAGGATAGAAAAGTTGCCTGGAAAACTGTATAGTAACCTAACAGAAACCAGAAGCATAGGAACCCTCTGCTTTTCACTGGCTCCATCTATCTTGGAAGTGTCATCTAATCTTTAGCCTTGTTGTTCTTTCACACTTCTTGTTATGGCTGCAAACCAGTACGGCTATGGAAGGTGTGAAAATCTAGTCTGCCACATTATTGGCAGTAATTTTTATATCTTCAGGGTGTCTTCTTCTACTGAAGAAGATCAAAAGTACTATACCACTCTCTAACCTGACCTATGAGAGATAGGTCATGCTGGAAGTTAGTTTGGTAAACTATTACTTCCACAAGCATCAGCTGGACTCCCAGTTGACCACTAAACACTCTCTGAATTTGCATCCAGAAGGCCATCTAAGAGACTACCACCTCAGATATGAGGCATTTGTCTTCCTCCATACTACTTCTCACCTTATAAAACCCTCATCTGCTTTGCAACAGCTTAATTTGAGCCTGCACTTGTTTATTCTCCAGGGTATAGGTAAGCAACTCCAAATCTGAACAGTTGCCTCCAACTTTACTAGGGCCTCGGGTAAAACCCTTACCTTTTCCAGCTTTGCTCTTGCCACTGCACCTGGGACCAAAAAGAGTTGCCAGATTTTTATCCACGAATGACACTTTAGCTCTGCAGGAGCCTTGCTCAGTTTCACGGCACTGTTGTGTGTTTTCGTTCCTTCCTGTCTCCAGGGTGCTGCTGAAAGAGAAGGGGAAACCTGCCCCAGGACCACCAGTGCAACAACCACGGGGCTTGGCCAGTCTCTTTGGGCAGAAACAGGAAACTCCAAAATTGTTTAAAGCAATGCTTGGAGGCAAAGGAAAAGATGGCCTTGTGAAGCTGCTGCAACTGAAGAGACAACAGGACGTTCAGGTAACGCCACAGAAAATAATGTAGGTTCTTCCAGGTGCTGCAAGATACTGGGAGGGCTTGGGCAAACAGAAAAAACTCCCAGTAGCTGAGATATAATTGCAGTACCTAATCTCTGTAAGCAGTCATTCTAAAACTTGACTCAAACCTCCCTGGACTGGGACTCTACGCAGAGCAGAGAAAACAGAAGCAAGGAAAAAAGTAAGCAAACAGAAATCCTCAAAGAAAGTAAGGAAAAAATAGACTTTACAAAGACCCTAAGGGCATCTCATTCAATTCTATGGAAACAACAGTAAATACAGAAATATCCTAACACAGTAATCTGATCCAGCTGACTTGAGCACATGGTGAACTTTCCAGTACAGAGTCAGATCTCTGGTTGTCACAAATCCTGAAAACAAAATTTAATGTGTAGCCCACACAGTTAAAACTGATTAAATCTCTAATATGTTGCACTTACGAGAAAACTGTTTAGTTGATGAAAAATAATTCCCACATTATACTTTGTTCTGAGAAATGTTAACAAGAACCTGCTCAGTTCTACATGTTTATCCAAAGGTGGCAGAATACTCTTCTTTCTTACAGCTGAACTGGCTGTGGTTCTATATTTTTTTAGTTAAATAAAGAACTTTACTTACACAAAGGACTACAACACTATTACTTGAGCAGAAACATTGCTCAGTTTAATGTGTATTTGTGAAATTAATAGCAAATCGGCTTGGCCAAGGAATTGGGGCACTGGGCAGTATGTCAATATTTACATAACATTTTCTCTTCTGTACTAGTGTAAGTACATAAAGGAAGGCAAGACTTAAGAAAGGGCTGTGTGCTCCAAAATGTATTTATCTGTTTCATCCTGCTATATTAATAAGAAGCAAATAGTATCACTATTGACAAGCTTTTCATAGGTTTTATGTTGACATTCTGATTCCGAAATTGCATGTTTCATTTAGAAGCTGATTTTCAAGACCTCAACACAAATTTACATAAGTTGCATACCATTAATCACAACATCCACACTGTGCCTTTCTGCTGCATACATAGAACAGAACTACTTCCTGAATTTCAGCACTGGAAAACACTGAACTTCTTGTTTCTAGGAAACTCGGGCTGAAGCAGAGAACAAGCCTGAACAAAAGGAGAAAAAACCCATGGAGCCCGCGCCCGCATCTGCCCCCCCTGCACAAAAGGAAGAGCCGAATGCAGACACTAAGCCCAAACCTGCAGTTATGCACAGAGAAACCAGTAAAGAGTCTCTGATCATTAGTATGTCTCCGTCCCCCAGAGCAGGAGAAGGAGAGATCCTTAAAGTTGAAGTTAAGGAGAAAATAAATAAATAGATGCTGCTTTGCACTGTGACCCCACCTATTGTCCTG